CAGTGTCAAAAACAGTTCAATAACAGACTTACATCAACGATCAGCAACAGTCAATAGGAGAAAGGGCAACACTCTCCAGAAACAACAGAACAGGAACTAAACAACCCAGGTTTCTGGCTCCATTTTATGGCCGTTTGAGGAACCACACCCAATTACATTTTTAGCATCTCCTTAAAGAGACAGTATTAAAATGTCTATCCTGGTTTATATATTTTCCAACCCAACTAACTGTTAGGTGACTTACATTCCTAACAGGAATCTAAAATATTCTGGACCTCAAAGTGCTGTTTCCCTTCTATCATAAGTGGCTCAGGTAATGGTGAAAGCTGAGGCCTAAGGGGAGAGGTGATTTCTGGTTTTAACAAGATGCAGTGAAAAACAGGGTGGACCCAACCAAGGGACTTAGGCAAATCTAACTCCACACACACTGGGTGGACCAAGATGGAAACATTCTAAGACAGGGATCCCCAATCCTCAGTCTGTGGATCGGTACTGATCTGTAGCATGCCAGAAACCAATCCGTGAAAACAAGTGAAGCCCCATTTGTGGCATACAGGCAGCTTACAAAATCAAACCCTCTTTGGTTTCCAGAAAAACCTCTCTCCACAGAACTGGTCTCTGGTGCCCAAAAGGTTGGAGATGCTCTGTTCTAAGCATCCTAGAATGGGCACATCCAAAACTTCCACACAGTTTCCAAACAGATATGAGAACTCAGATGGGCCATCCATGCTTTTACGGTAGGCAGATTGACATAAAATATGGTCCTGGCTAGACTTACAAGGTTGAGGAACTACATCTTCAACGGTATATCTCCTCCACCAAACTGATTATTTAAAATAACTCATGGTCTATGACACATGTACTTTGATAAGAAATCATAGTATCAAATAATCTCTTCCTAGCAGTTCCTGAAATCTGTTCTGAACTGAGAAAGATCTCAGGCCACTCTCTTGAAAACAGCAAAGTTCATGATCTGAGTAGAGAGGACAGTTGGTTTTGAAGAGGGGCCAAAGAGGTTATCTATATTAAAATCCTCAGACCTCAACAGGGGAAGAGGGATACAACACTAGCTATCTCCTGTGAACAGTACAATTCTAAGAAGGCTCTGCACACATTTGCACTACTCAGGTGACCCCGAGGACACAGATAAACCTCCAAGTGTCCTTGATGGCTCTCTAAAAGAATGCAAATGACCAGATGACTGCAAGGAATTTAAATATTTCCATTCCCCACCATCCAGTCAGAGCTGAAGAAGCTTCTTGGATAAGAAGCAAAACATTTTCGGAGAAAAACAAGGAAGTCCAGTTGCCTCTTGAAAAAGCACCTCTGGGACTATCATGATGAAAGTTCTAACTTTGCTGTGGACATACCCGGTGATGATGTGCAAGAATTCCTTGGTAAAAACCAACAGGTCTCTTGGAAAATCCAAAGAAGCTGAGAAAGGTAGATTGAATCCAGTTTGTTCTGTATTTGATTTAGCTGAGGTGAGAAAGCAGAATCTATTCAACATCAGGCATAGCTTTCCAGGTACAGAAAAAAGGAACTTGCTTAACATTTTGCTATGTACTTGGAAAGAGAAAGCGTTTCTACAGCGTTTTTTTTCTAAAGGAAATGTTTAAATACTTAATCATAACTTTGAAGGAAAAGCAAGAAGCTGAAAATCAGTCTAATCTCATCCCGTCTTACTTCTGCAAGAATTAGAAAACATGAATCTAAAGTCTGCTTCATCTTATGCCTGCAAATGTTTCACTGAAATGTTTCAATGAAAATTTGAACCATACATTTGAGGACATAAATTGGGTTGAAAAGGATTACTTAGAGCAACTGAAGTAAAAGGAACCTTTAATGTTGTGGTGTTTTTCAAGATACAGAAAGCACCACACACGGAGCTACCCTTGAAGAGTACTCAGAACTACAGCTGATTTTATCACTCTATTTCATGAGTTGCACTGGTTACCAGCAGGCTTCCAGATGTAATTCAAAAGGTTCATTTTCACCTTCAATGGCTTAAGACAGGGGTCATCAAACTTGACAGCTTTAAGACATGTAGACTTCAAGAATTCCTCCTCCAGTCAGGTTAGCTCAGGAATTCTGGGAGTTGAAGTCCACAGTCTTAAACTTGCCAGGTTTGAAAACCCTTGACTTAAGATCTAGGCTCCTAGGAAACTACGTCTCTGTTTTTGTTTTGCATGACCTCTAAAATCTGGCAGAACATCTTCACTCTAGATCCCAGTAGTCATAGAACATAGATTAATATAGTTGGAAGTGATCTTGGAGGTCTTCTAATCCAAACCTCTGCCTGAGCAAGCGACCCTATACCATTTCAGACAGATAGCTGTCCAGTTTCTTCTTAAAAGCCTTCAGTGATGGAGCACCCACAACTTCTGAAGACAATTTGTTCCATTGGTTGATTATTCTCACCATTTAGGAAATTTCTCCTTGGTTCTAGGTTTCTTGTCTGCTTGGTTAGTTTTCATCCACTGCTTCTTGTCCTGATTTCTGGTACTTTGGAAAATAGGTGGACCCCCTCATCTTTGTGGCAACTCCTCAAATATTGGAACTCTGATATCATGTCTTCCCTTGTCCTTCTTTTCACTAGACTATAGACATACCCAATTCATGCAACTATTCTTCATATGCTTTAGCCTCCAGCTCCTTACTCATCCTTGTTGCTCTTCTCTGCATTCTTTCCAGAGTCTGGAAACATCTTTTTATATCATGGTGGCCAAAACTAAATGCAGTATTCTTACTACGGCTTTGTAAATTACTACTAATACTTCATAGGACCCCTCTATTAATACAGACTCAAATTGCATTGGCTTTTTTGGCTGTCGCCGCACACCATTGGCTAATATATAAGTGATTTTCTACAAGGACTCTAAGATTCCTCTCACTATTGAGATATTGATATTGAGACAAGTTTCAGCTAGTCTGTACAGTACAATTATTTTTCTTTGACTCAGTGTAAAACCTTATTTTCTATTTACATTGAGTATTTTTTTTTTAAGATAAGACCCAGTGTCCAAGTCTGTTGAGATCCGTTTGGATCTTGAGCCTGTCTTCTGGGGTTTGGGCTATTCTTGCCACTTTAGTGTCATCTGCTCATTTGATGAGTTCCCCTTCTATCCCCTCATCTAAATCATTGATGAAGATATTGAAGAGTACTGGGCTTAAAACGGAGTCTTGGAGTACCCCACTGCTTATTTCCCTCCATGTAGATATCGTTCCATTAAAGACTTCTCAATGAATAGAAGAGCAACCAGGATGATTAGGGGACTGGAGACTAAGGCATATGAAGAACAGTTACAGGAACTGGGCTTGGCTAGTCTAGTGAAGAGAAGGACCAGGGGAGACCTGATAACAGTCTTCCAATATTTGAGGGACTGCCACAGAGAGGAGGAAGGGGTCAAGCTATTTTATAAAGCGCCTGTAGACCAGACAAGAAATAATGGATGGAAACTGATCAAGGAGAGATTTAACCTGAAAATAAGGAGAAACTTTCTGACAGTGAGAACAATCAACCAATGGAACAGCTTGCCTTCAGAAGTTGTGGGAGTGCCATCATTTGAGACCTTCAAGAAGAGATTGGACTGCCATTTGTCAGAAATGGTGTAGGGTCTCCCGCTTGGGTGTGGGTTGGACTAGATGACCTATAAGGTCCCTTCCAACTCTGATTATCTGTTATCTGAGCACAGTTAGTAAAAGTAATGGGGGTGGGGGTGTTCATTTGATTCATTTGTTACATATTTTCTACATTCGTTTCACAGACTTTCAAAGATTTACTCAAGCAAGAATAATCAACATTCGGTTTTTTTCCCCCAAATTAAGATGCCAATTATATTTCTTAGCGATCTGATTTTCAAATCACAAAGTTACATTAGGACTGGAAAAGCTCCTAAATCAACATAATTAATGTCGGTTGATATTTTTTATGAAATTATTAATGCTTACATTTAGTTATTGATGCTATTGATGTGAAGTGCCGTGGTGACAAAGTGATTAGAATGCAGTGCCAATATTATTATTATTATTATTATTATTATTATTATTATTATTATTATTA